TTAAGCTTTCCCAAGAGATGTTCTTTCTTCCAGGGACAATCTCAGCCCTCTGGGCTCCTGATAGCTTATCCTGGAATCCCAGTTTAGATCTCAGGGCAACTTTTATACACTCTTCTGCCTACCCTGCCCCAGATGTGTTATCTTTGTTTTATTCTTTCTTATATTTTTTTCTAAAAGAACTTGTCACAAATGTAATCAATGATGTAAGTAATGGTTTAATATTTGTCTCCCCTACTATTCTGTGAATTCTGAATGGGTGAGAACAGTCTTATCTGGCCTTTTCTTATTGCACATGTAGGCATGTTCTTGTTGCCCATACTAAGTACATAATAAATATTTATTTCATGAATGAAAAAATACGTGAAGTACTAAAAGATGATTTTTTTTGTTAATGTGGTTCTGTGTATAAAAAAGAAAAAAAAATGGATCACAGGAAGGTCCTATACCCTTGTCCAAGGTCGTACAGATAGGGTGTATGAGACAGGACTGGGACCTAGGTTTATCTGTTTCCTCTGATGGGCTAGGGACAGCCATCCTAAGAAGAGGATAACTGCATGTGCAGATGTCTGCCTGACCACATCCCTGGTTCAGAAGAAAGGAGCAACACAGAAGGAAAAGTATTACAATCAGACTCCTTGCACAATTTCTCAGTTTTGCTTGATTTGTTCCCTTATCTTATGCTATTTAAATATAGTCTTGATGATTTTGTTTGCTTTGGAGGCAGGAAAAAAAAGATCCACAGAAGGTATAAAATTGCATATTATTTACCCCAGAGAGGAGAACAGTCCCCCTAGTAAATATGTATTGAAGCATTTTTATTTGTATTTGTATTTTTTAAACATGTTTAAATAGACCCAGTAGACCATAATATCTCTTTTCAGAGTTGGTGCCATCTATTGATTAAATATGCATTTATACATTTCTTCTTCTACATTTCTTTTTAAATAAAAGAGACATATGTTCTAATCATATAATAGACCTAGAAGAATTGATCAGTGAAAATACATATTTATATGTTTCTTTACAAAAGATTTTATCAAGCACACAAAAAAAAGAAATTATTTCCTGATATACATTGATTTTTGTTAAGTATGAATTTAATTAAGAGGTGAGGGTATGTGTGCTTAAGTCCCTATTGTGTGAATTCAGAAAGAGGCTGGTAGAATAAATAGGTGTTTTTAAAACAACAACAAAAAAATGATTTAAAACAAGGTCACACTCCTAGTACGTGATACAGTCAAGACTCCAGCCAGGCTTTTCACTTTTCAAAGAGAATGCTTTAAGAAGATATGACCATATTGAGCACTCTTATTTTATTAAATACCCTAAAACAGGGAACAGTGAAAGAAGATAAGCTTTGGAGTAAACTTTGGATTAGATTTGGGGCTTCTTATTACCTGGTCTACTTCTTCATCTGTGGAATGGACCAGTAACAAGGGCACAGTGAGAATTTAGAGAAAACACCATGAGGTCCCTAGGGTTGTTCCTGTCCCTGAGCTCACTGAGGGGTAGTGTGTGTGCTAGAGCTTGGATCTTGAGAGCCCCCCGCCCCCCAAGGACCCAGTGTTGAAAGCATGGTCCTCAGTGTGGGCTATTTGCAGGTGGTAGAACCTTTAAGAGATAAGGCCTAGTGAGAGGTCTTCAGATTTGGGGGTATATGCCCTTGGAGGGGACAGTGGGACACTAGCCTCTTCCACTTCCTCTCTGTTAATTCCAGGTCATGTGGGGAGTGGTTTTGATCCCTCTCATGCTTCTGCCATGGTGTGCTGCCCGACTCCAGAGGCCTGAAACAGTGTGTGTGTCTGATCATGGGCCAGAACCTCTAAAACTGAGCCTGTTCCCCCCCCCCCCTTTGGTAAGTTGTTCATTGCAGGAATTCATTTTAGTGATGGAAAGCTGAGTAATGCAGTGTGCAGTGTGCGTCCCTCTTCTTTCAAGAGTGAGGTTAGGGCTGAGGGCTGCTCCCAGTGTCCTCAGGAGCTGAGGATCTATTTAGATGCTGCCTAAGTATCTGCAGAGCACTGAGGGTAAGACTACTCAGGTGCTTTCAGGTGTGATGGAGCATGCTTATCATCCCAGCAACTCAGGAGACTGAGGCAGAGGGATCACAAGTTAAAGGCCAGGCTGGGTCACTTCATGAGACCTTGTCCCAAAACAACTAGGGGTTAGAGCATTGGTAGAGCACTTGCCTCGCACTCATGAGGCACTGGGTTTGATCCTCAGTACCACATAAAAATAAATAAAATAAAATATATATTTAAAAAACAAACAAAAAAAGGTCTGGGGGTATAACTCAGTACACCTGGGTTCAATCCCCAGTGTTGGAAAAGCCAAACCAAACCAACAATCTGTATTTGGGGTAAAAATGGGAGTTCATAACTCACTTGAAACTAATGTTTGAAATATTATATGTCAAGAGCTTTGTAAGGTTTTGAACAACCAATAAAAAAAAAAACTTAACATCTTAAAACAACAACAACAACAACAAAAACAACCAGCCCAGAAGTTGTGTCCTCTCCTCTCTCTCCCTTGTAGTCAACAACCCCGGTGGTGAAGGCAGGCTGGTCTCCAACTCTAGCTGCGTATCTGAGCCTGCAATACTGAGGAAGTTATCTAAACTCCTAAACTCTGGTTTCTCCCTCTGTACTTCACTGGTTTGTTGAGAAAAAAGAGATATGTGAGGCAATAACAGAGTTCCTGGCACATGGGTGTGCAACACTATGATAGCATTCAAAATTATAATTTCTTTTGAGAGAGGCTTTCACTTTGGAAACAGAAAAAAAAATGGCTTTGAATTTTGGCCATGTCATCTACCAGCTATGCAAACTTGGATAAATTATTTAACTTCTCTGAATCTCAGTTGTTTCACCTCTCAAAAAAGCATAATTGTATTTTCTCATTGGACAAGCCTAGGAGTTATTTTTAAAAATCTTAACCCACAGTCAGTGGATTCCTGAGATCTATCATTTGTATGATACCACCAGTGAAGTCCTACTGATTTTTCTGTTTCACATAAAGCCCCCTTCTTTTCTTCTTCCATGGCTCTCCCCTCTACCTCCCTGCCCCACCCAGTTCAGAATGTATTAGACCTGGGCCATGCCTGCTAATAAGCATGCTTGCCTCAATTCATCCTGACTCATTTTCATAAATTAACTTCCCTTATTCATAGCCCTCTCCTGCTCAAAAAGAAATGAGCTTTCTCCAGTAACAATAGGGAATTTCTAAATCATTAGTCCAGGATTCAAGGTCTCCCACCTACTTCACTAGCCCCTTTTGGCTTTTCCCTACAAGGTTTCGGTATATGTCAGCCATCTCCTCTCCCTGAGATGACCATCTCATTTGTTAGGTTCATCTTATCCCTCTCACCACTTCAAGTCTGAGGAGTCAGCCACTGGTAATCATTCTTACAAACGTCTGTCGGATTTTCTCATTGCTCAACGGATTCACAGATCAGTTTGCTTGTGAATGACGTGTTTGCCACTATTGGTTCAACAGAATTTCTTTAATATGCAGGGTGTATGTACACAATTCTCTCTTATCTACATTCACAAATGTGCTAATTTGGGATTGGTTTCTTCAAATGCATTGTCTGCCCTTTACAGACAAATAACAAAATTTTTCACATTCCCAAGGACTTTATACTAAGCAGGTACTTTGAGAGTGTCAGGTGATGATGCTATCTATCATCATGTGTTTTCCACTCAATTCCTCAAGTTTATAAAAAGAGAAGTAATCAATCTTTCTGCTTCTTTTAAAGCAAACAGGGCTGATTTTCTAGAAAGAGAGAAGCTCAGTTAGACCCTCAGTTATTTGGGTCAAACTGAGCTTCTCTCTTTCTAGAAAATCAGACACTGTGTGGATCGTAGATTTTTCTAGAAAATCTCTTTCTAGAAAATCAGCAAACACTGTGTGGATTGTACAGTAAGACAGACCTGTTTTGAATCTCTGCACATTTAGTTGCATAGAATTTCACAAGTTGCTGGCACTTGCTGGACTTCAGTTCCAGCCTGTTGAAATCTAGGGCAGGGCTCTGGTGGGGATAAACTGAAGTAACACCTGGGGATACCTGCCATAGGGTAGATACTTGGGAAAATATTGAGAATGCAATGGAGGAGGGAAGGATGCTCTTACCTAGAAAGTCCTGTGCATATTGGGCTGAGAAGGAATTCCAGCCTCTGTGGGGTATTTAGAGGGCATCCTGCGACAGCTATAGTTTCCCCAGTCTTTAATTGCGAGTGTTTTTCTTACCACAGAGCCTCATAAGTGAAGAGCACTGTTGAGTGTTAGCATCCCTAAACTGGCAGCAAACTGCTCAGAAATTCAGGGAGGGCTGAAGTCCTTTCTAGAACAGGTACCTTGTAGGGGTGTGTGACGGGGGGAGATGGCAACTCAGAGGTGCAAAAATACTGTCCTTGTTAACTGCCATTCTAGAAGGGACAAACTGAGCTGCAAAGAGGAAATGAGGAAGGAAGGCAGAAGGCCACAGGTGTCCCTCCATGACCTACTCATCTTGAAGATTTCCCATGACTTCAGCAAGTTTCTACCTCCTTGAGGTCTATTCTGAGTACATTCCTTCCTATACTGTAATCATAAGCAATTGTTTGGGCTTCTTGTCTTGGTAGAGTTTCAGAATGCTCTAATTGTGGGGAACTGGCCAATTCTTTCTGCATCTTCAGTGAAAAAGAAAGAAAAAAAAAAACTTGCCATGCCCATTTTCCTGCTGGGAAAACTAGATTTCTTCCAAGTGCTCTTAAAGGCAGATTGGGGACTGGGGTTCAGATTTAAATGCCTGAGTACTTCCCGTGGGTTGCAGATCTTGCAGCATCCTGCCTGGACACCAGGAAGAAGGAATAATGATAAGGAATTGTCGTGGCCATTACCTTTCTTTCTTGGTTATGTCCTGAGCCCTGCTGGAGTCTAAACAGACAGCGCCAAACCCCTCCCACTGCCCACCAAGGAGTGAGTGTGTGCCCACGCAAGCCCCACATGGGCATACTCACAGGATGCCAGTGCGCACTGCTGTGGTCCTGGGGAGGGTGTGAGCAGGGGGCAGGCTTCAACTCCCTTTGGAGTCCAGCCTTCCAAAGAGGAAAGTCTCCTAGTGTCGCTCAGGAGAGTGGAGCCAATGCGTGCCTTGGAGGAGGTCTGCTTTGAGCCCTGTGCAGATTGGTGCTGATGATTCTTACCAGTTGTGTGTATGTGCAAGAAAAAAAAAAAATACCAGAGACGCTGCCTGCCTGCTCCCATCTCTCGCGCGCTCTCTCTCTTCTGCTCTCTCCCTCCCTTTGCAAACATTGGATTTAAACCTGCTCAGAATTCAGCACAGAGGAAGGCAGCAGCGGTAGCAGCAGCAGAAGCAGGAGCAAGCCCGACAGCCCAGAGCACTACAGCGTCGAGATGTACCATCCCGCCTACTGGATCGTCTTCTCTGCCACAACTGCCCTGCTCTTCATCCCAGGTACCCGAGAAGGGTGTTTTCTCTTTCTGGGGTGATTGTGCAATGCAAGGGCAGAAGAGGAAGGAGGAAGAGGGAGAGGCAAGGAGGAAGGGAGGAAGAGAGGGAGTGTGAGAGGCATGTGAGCAAACTAGGTAGGCTTGCTGTGCACACACACGCACACACAAACACACACACATACACATTCGCTCACTCAATGGCTCACACGCACGCAGATGCTCGCAGCACAGGATTTGCTCTCTATTCCGGGGAATTGGTGAGCTGGGTTCGAGATCCGCACTGTGCTGTGAGGTACTGCTGTTTCTGTAAAAGGTACCCACTGGCATTAACCAGTTGTGTTCTGGGGGTAAGAAGAGAGGGGTTTAAACTCCTAGGCACAAATCCTTCTTGTACCTCTGTTGGGACCTGCAAGGAGGGACGGGGTACTCTTATCTCTCTCTCTAACCTATTCATTCCCTCTCTGTTTCCGAATCCGTATAGATCTCTGCATCTCCTTCTTTCTGTATGTTTTCTTTCTCTTCCTTATGATCTCCCCTCTTTCCTACTCCCCCTCCTTTTGAAACCTTCTCCCTTGTACTCTGACTTCAGCTCTTTCCTCTCCCCATCCTTTCTCCTTCACTCATGAATTTGCTATATTTGCATTTCTTGTCTGAGCAGTCTTTCACCCTCCTGTCATCCTTTCTTTATCCTTCCACCAAATGGGCAGATTGTGCCTTTAAAATTCAGAATCCTCTCAGTTTCTCCTTCCTACTCTTCATATCAGAAATGTGAATTACCCTTGATAGAATTTGCAATGTGCAAACTGAGGGAAGATTGGTCTGGGAATCTGGATTCACCAGATACCCCTCAGCATCTTCTCTACCTTATCTAATGATTTAAATGTGATGCTACCTCACACAGCAGTTACTTGTTTAGGGAAAACAAATCTGCAGTGATACAGGTAACACTGTAATCCCATCGAAATAAGCTTGGTAGAAGCCTTGCAAAATCCAACATGTCTTAATAGATTTGGTAATTGCAAAAGAGTCCTTTGCAGGCAGACAACTGAATGCCCGCAGGCGTCTTTCAAACAATGCTGAAGGGGCTAGGTTATGCTTGCCACGATTTTAGGCAGCATCAAAGGGTTGGTGGAGTTTCCATACTAAACCCCAGCCCAGGCAGGATTTCTTTCTTTCTTCCCTTTTCTTTTCTTTCCCTGCAAATCAAGATAGATATATTGGGTAAAGCATTAGCTTAGACCTAAATTCCCATACATATATACATAGATATGAATGCTAAGATTCTGAAATCTTGCATCTGATTCCATAAGTAATAGACATTTTACATTATTATATTCAGAACCCCTTGGAAAGGTTTTTTCATTTGTTTTTAAAAACGTAATTCCCTAAGTACTTCTAAGCTACAAAAAGTGAGATTAGGAAATAATGGAAGTTTATTGGGGAGAAAGAAAAGTGGACCAAATTTAATAAAGAAGCCCAGTTTTGTCATTTAAAAAGTTTTAATTTTTTTTTTGAAATTTTAAAATATTTTCCCAACTAAATTTTTAAATTTTTGGTTTGTACTTTTACAAACAGAAGTGGGCTCTGAATAACCCTATTTCTGGATATTTGCTTTAAGGTGATAAGTTTCCAGTTGGGAGTGGTGTTTTTCTTATTCCCAATTCCAGCACTGTGGTAGGGGGTTAGAGCCAGGACCTGCAGGGGGCTGGGCTGATGGGGAAGGCAAGCCCGTCAGCACTCAGTACCTGCAGGAGCCTGGTAGAGGGAGCCAGGTAGGTGCTCTGGGACCACTATGAGAAGACAAACTTTCCTGTATGACAGTTCCTGGGGTCCTCCTCGCTCCTGGTTGATTCCCCTCCTCCCTCTATGCTGGAGCAAAGATCAAGACCTCCGAGCCCCAGGGGAATCCTAGCAGTGTATATGCGCCCCTCATGGCAAAACCCAGAACATTACACTTCCAATAGGGGAGAGGAATGAGACCCTGTCGTCTGAGGCTGCATTGCAGTGCACTCTGAAGGAGTCAGGAACGAGGGTGAAACCTCCCTCTAGGGGCCCCCTGACACCCTAAAACACAGCTCCTCTGCATTGGTCGGAGCAGGCAGAGCTTGCCTGCAGGAGAAGCATTCATACCCAAAGCAGCTGCTGAAAGGGGAGTGAACCTCCGCCTCCTGAGTCCCTGAGCATGGGGTTGAGGATAATAAGCAAGCAGTCTCCCAGTCTCTCACAGACGTCAGTCTGGGGTCCTACTTTGCTCTTGGTCTGCTGCCTTCTCTGAATGCTGCCCTTTATGCCAATTGTGCTAGGAACCTAGATAGTGAGATAGTGCAAGGAGGAAAAGTTGGCGACAGAAGGTGTAAGTGGAGTGAAGGAAAATGACATACACAGAAGGAATCCTGCGGAACCGAACCCAGCTGCAGCCAAAGTTCTGAGGCTCTGCCAGGGTTTCCTTGTGACTTCTCCTTTGTCACTTTTACTTCCTTAAGTATGTCTTCAGGTCCACCCCCCTCCTGTGTTTCCCCATGGGGTTAATAGCAGCCTGTTAGCCTTTTACTTTCCTTGCATCTAAAGACAGAGGGTAATGTAATAATAAAGCCCTGACCCATTTGGACTTCTACACCGTTCATTCTGCAGTCTTTTATTTCTTGGTAAAACACGTTTCTACCCCAGAATAATTTTAAGGTTAATGCTGTTGTCGCCAGATACCTTCCAGGGAGAGAATGATGGAGTCGAATTACTTTTCTAGGCAGAATCTCTAGGATGGGAAGACAGTTGTAAGTGGACACTGTGTTGAGCCCACACCTAAGACAGGGCACAGGGTCACTTTAATTGACACTTTAATTGTAATGCTTGGGACACAGTCTCTAGGCACCCAGGGTGGGGGTGAGCTTATCCCAGGTAGGAAGAGAAATAAGGGCCTGTCTTGGGACCCTTTGTGGACTTTAGTTTAAGAGCTTTGTGGAAAGGGGGAGGATGGAGAAGCACAAAGTGAATGTTACTGGACATTTGCATCAGAATCACTCGGAGGGAGGGGGTCTGATTAAAATGCAAAGTTCCTCTGTCTTAGGCACAAAGCATTTATAAATAACAAACATCCCTTCCTTTTATGCCTTCTATACTACTTTGTCTGTAGTTTAAAACCTGCGTTCATGGCTTGAAGCATTTGAGTTGGGATCCATTTTCTCCTCTCCCTGTTTTTTTTTTTTTTTTCTGTTTTCGTTTTTTCTCCCTTTAGTTCTGAAAAATGGCACCATGATCATGGGGTAGGATGGATGGGGAAGGGTGAAAGTTGTGTTGCTATGTTAAGCAAACAAGGCTCAGCTCTGGAAACACAACAGGGGACAAGGACTGGTCAGGGGACGAGCTGGCTGGTGGAAGGATTAGACTTATGACTCTGAAGGCTGCTTTTCTCCAGTTCAGACCTTTGCCTCATGTTCCCTTCTTCTCAGCCCATCCTGCCTAGGTCTGAGCTTGTGTCCTGTGCTCAGAGCAGGGAAGGTGATGTGAGGAGTTCCCCAGCTGCCCTGTCTGAATTGAGCAGGATCCTCCAACACAGATCTGTGAGCCCAGATTCCCAGCCTGGTCTCCCTGAATCTTACATACTGGTTCTTAAACAGGCTTATTTAGTGTAAAGAAAGTCCTGAGATTGGATTAAAGATCCCCTTAGGTTTAGGATTCTTCCTTCCCCAGTATACACTTTCCTACATCTTCCTTCCTTTGGAAAGAGCCCTTGGATCTAGGGCTTTAGGGGGTGAGATCTGGAGGGAGGGCTTTATAACCAAGTTTTCAGGAATTCCTTTCCCACTTCTTGCACCCTAACCAGTATAGTGTAGAGAAACCTGTAAGAATGCTGTACAGGAGGGTTCAAACGGGAGAATCTAAGCCCTAGATGTACTGACAAAGGGATAGGAACAAGGACCAGGCATGTGATTTTGAATAAGACTTCAGCTTCCTTTTGCCAATCATAGATTCATGCCCATCTCCCCAGGCTGTCCTGTGGCCCTCATCTCTTATAATGATTGACATGTTAATAAGGTCAGACCACATCCTGTTGGCATTCAGCACTGGCCCAGTGGCAACAGCAGACATCGAGACAGAGACAGGTGTCAAGGGCTTTTTCAGTAGCCTGAAGCTGGGCAGCATTACTCAACCTGAGATTAATCCGAGATGCTGACTGTCTTAAGATTCTCCTGTGTTACTTCAGTCCTGTCTGCCTTTGTGCTTTCTCTCATTCTCTGCCACATTCCTGCAGCCTAGAACATTACAGAAGGAGGTTCCTTAAGCAGGCACCACCTTAATGTGCTTGTTGTCTAGCAGCCTTGGGCCTGGGTCCCCCACATGGGACAGAGATCTGTCAGGCATTTCCCATGAGCAAGGCCTCCACCCAAGCCTTTGAGTAGGTTGAAAGCCAAGAAGTGAGACTCTGATTAGCAGCACTTTGAGATTCATTTGGTTGGATCAAGACATTCTCTGACTCTCAGTTTGCCTATCTATAGAGTGGGGTTCCAATTATTTGCACTTCGTATTTCCAACCATAGCCAAAAACCTAGGTTAGATAGTAAAAAGGTGAACACTCATGCATTTTTATCATTAAAAAAAAAAATCATGTTGGTCTCCTCCTAATAGGACAAGAGAGAAGAAGGCTCATAAGCAGAAGCTCAGAACAGAACATTCCTCATTGTTAAAAGAGGAAGAACAGGTAGAATCATCCTGACTCATTTATGTCTCCATCATAGTAGTGAAAATTAGCAAAATTCAGTCTTATCCATCTGTTTATTCTTTAAGACTTGAAACAGGTTCTGGCTAAACAAAATGAATTAATTAAGATATTCTGCTTCAAAATCATAAATCAAACAAAAATTATTTACCTTTTTCCTTCTTTTTGACTTCTAATGAAATGCACATGCAGACTTTGAGATTTTTGAATTTTGATTGTTCTGCGGGGAAAACTGTGGCAGCAGACATAGCACCTTTGGTCTCCTAAAACAGTGCTTTGCAGTATTTTTG